CAATCCCATTCAAAGTGTGATTTAAAAACTGTTTGGACTGCCTTTAAAGCCGCAGTCTACCCTGTACAACGCATTGTGTGATAGAGCAGTGGTATTGCGACTTCCCGAAGACGATCCAGATCCGAGTCCCGTCAGGAGTCGAGTTCATTTGAAGAGGCATTTTGTGAGGCTAAACCAAGTGAAAACCAACGGCGTCTGGTTGTTTTCTACTCATTTTCTTGTGCAGACTCTGGGCAGCCTTCCTTCCGCCACGTGAAGCTGGCGAAGTTGATTTATTGAGCTCACTTCCATTTCGATTGAAAGCGTTTGGTGAAGAATTTTGAAGGTCGGTTCCACCAAAAGACGACGGCAGAGTCCTCTCGACCAACTGTTGATTGGCCTTACTGGAACATTCATGTTGACGCAGCTTCTGAGCAAATCTCCTTCGATTCCCGTGAAATGGTGCCTAACTTTCGTCGTCATATGACACACATCATCAGAGCAAGGTATCATCGTCACGAGCAAATTCGAGCTAACGAGTCAAGAAAACTCTTCACCAAGCACTTTACCTCGAAGTGGAAGTAAGCACAACAATTACCAAACAAGAGATTCCTCGGAGCTAAACTTTTTTTCAAAGTTGATTTAACGTTTGAGGCGACAACCGTGCCCATTTTCTTCGGCTTTATTTTCATTTTGTACATTTTTTTGTTCGTCTTCCGGATGCTCAATGGCAGACCAGCCGCCAATATGGACCGGTCCACAGGCCGAAGCACCTGATTTCGAGTCCGAAAATCTGAAACTGGCCCAAATCCTCCGCATTGAAAGCCTGCTGGGGCAGCACCCGAGACGGGCTTGTCGCCAAAACGCAGCCTCGGGGACGCCACCAGCATATTTTTGAGACGAGTTTTCCGGCACTTTCTGCATATGAACCCCTCGGTTAGGCAGTCTTTTGTTTCGTTCGCTTGCTCCCAGGTTGGTGCTCTACATGACATGCCCAAACACGATTCTCCATCCAAATAAGTCATGCCAACTCACGGGCATTTAACAATCCTCTCATTTGGACCAGAACTAGACGGGCGGGAGACTGGAGGACCAAAGCCAGGGCGACCGTGTTCTGCCCCTCTTGATCACGCAATCCGCTCAAGGGCTTTAAACAAGTGCAAATACGCAAACACACACATGCACACATACAAACATTCATACATACATACATACATACATACATACATACATACATACATACATAAATACATACATACATACATACA